ATTTCTTGATCATGGCTGCCAGCCATTTTACATGCCGAAGCATACATGGTCATATGTTTCATTGTATCTAGTATTCGATGATCAGAAATTCCATCAATATTCTAGTCTATGATAGTTTGACCAGTATATGTAGAAGTATGACTTGTAAGGTCTTCTTCTAATTGTATATCAATTGGAGTTGGTCTCTTGTAATAGGGTCTGGCATTTATTGGTTGCCAATTTTTACTGTAGCTGATTCGATTTATCGTATCTGGAGTAATATTTATTTCAGAAAATGCCTTTTGTATATTTTTTATTGTGTTGGCAATTGGTGGTTCCATATTTTCATTGGTTTGGAATATTATTTCTTCTTGAAGGGTTATATTATCATGTTCTGGAATTTTTGCTTTTCCTTTATCATTGTCTGGTAGAATAATGGTTTGTTTGGGATCTTTGATTTCTAATTTAGATAATTTGGAGATTAATTGATCCATGAGTGTTTTATTATCATCACCTATATGGAATTTTTCTTTATTCAAGTCAGGAGGATGTTTAAAAAATAATTGTTTCTTCTCTTTATAGATAGGTGGATGTAATAAGTTTTCTATTCTACTAGTTTGTTGACCAAGTGTATGAAGGTAAAGGTTTGTATAATTATTTTGTTCAATTATATGGGGAAGCAATTCTATACGAGCTATGTTTGCATTATTTAGTTTATATGGTGTTGATACGGTTTCGTATACAACCATTTGGGTTGAAGTCGAGGTTGAGGATTCTATATTGAATCCTGTTGTGGCAGAGGCTTTAGTAGCGACTCCTTGTATTTTCAAGCTTTGTTCAGGAGGATGTATGGCTTTAATTGTATTTCCCTCAGTAGTATTAAATACTGTGTATTGGGTTTCTAGTGTATTTATTTCAAAATCAGGAATAGGGATACCCTTTTGGCTTAAAATGTCTTTTAGCCAATCGAAAAAACATGTTCCTTTATTTCCCTTGTTTCTCCATTTGTTAAATCTTTTGTGAAATAATTCCACTAGTCTAGGTTCAAAAGTTTTGACATACCATTCTCTGATATTTTTATTTTCTAGGGATAAAAAATCATTTATGATATATTCTTTATCAAATGTTTCTTCAAGTTGTAATACTTGAATGAACTCTGCTTCAGCAGGTTCTTCTTGAGCTTCTTTGTATTGAGGAATAATGATATTATCAGGTGTCCTTAGTAAGTCAGTAATTTGTGGTTTTATTGGTGTCGATGGAATATGTATGGTAGAAGGGATCCTATTATATGTAGTAACAGAATTTCTTGCTGGCTCTGATTCTCGGAAAGAATAATTATTTGAAGTTCCTGAGATGGATGCATCATCTAGCGTAATTCTATTTTTTGGTAGTGAATTGAATTTCAATATTTCCATCTGTATATTCATAATTTATCTGATGTTTGTAGTAGATATTTGTGTATGGTTTGG